TTTCTGCTGTCAAAGGAAACTATCTACCTTTTATCATATATATATATATATATATATATATATATATATATATATATATATATATATATAAAAGCATTAATCACCGCATTTATCTTGATAAACTCCTTCAGGAGCTGAAACTTGTTGGTAAAGAAAATTTTTTTTCTTTTTTGTCTTTTATTTATATCCAAATTTTTACACACACTAGCTGGGAGTGCAGCCGGAACTAAACATCTAATTCCCTAGCATGCTATTGAGTTAAAATGCAGATATAGAAAAAAAAAAGTGCTTGCTTATCATGACCTATTTGTTTATTTATTTATATATATATATATATATATATATATATATATATATATATATATATATATATATATATATATATATATATATGTGTGTGCATGTGATTAAGGAAATCAATGTTGTTTTTATCAGGAAATTTTAATTTAATAATGGAAATTCTGTTTAAAGTTTCTCTTAATACTTAATGTGTTCATATATTTTTCTTTGCTAATAAATTGTATCCATTAAATAGTCTCATCAGATAATGGCTTTCATATGGATGTCGTGCATGGTGCCAAATCATTTTTAGATATTTATGGACAGTCAGCTGTATACAACTGATTTCTCAGGTTAATGATTAAAAATGACTTTGTGTAAGTGAAACCCAAGGGTCTTGGCAGAGACCTTCTTTCTTTTAAACTTGTGAACTGGCCTACAGAATCACAAAGAACTGTACCACCAGATAACAGAAATCACATCACTTGAAGACTTGCAACATTGCAACAACTAAAATAGATAGCATGTGTATTCGAAGAGAAAATGACAAAATCGATATATTGATGTTCTACACTAGTTCAAACGAAATATTAGGAGGGAAACCCCCATCAGTACAGGAAAGAGCGATAAGTTACTGGACTTGTTAAGAAACCCATTTTCCTGAAAAATTGTTTTAAGAGAAATATTTTATAAGTTTCAACTGACAGGTGTACTGTCTGTTTGGTCAATAAATGCTGAATGTTACCTTATAAGGAAATGGCTAATAACATTAGAGATAACATATACTACAGTTTGATCTTGGTTCAATGGCCAGGGTGTGAAAAGTATAACTCTAGTTCAGTCAATGAATTCTGACGGTTTTCTTGTAAGGAAACAACTAATATTATCAGTGATTAATGAAGTGACTATAATTTGGCTGTAATTTTTCTCTTCCACCATTTAAAAGAAACTTTTTTGTAAAATTCATTTTCAGTAAATGACTAGCCATAAAATATTGTTTGTATTAACCTTTTAACTATAAATACATTACATTCTTTTGTTGCCTACTTGCAAGATTTTATATTGGGTTCTTATTTATTTTATTGCTTTCGCTATTGTTAGAAAAAAAATAAATGGGAATAAATAAGTTTTTAGCCCAACAACTCTATCAAGATTGGGCATGAAAAATAATTTAATCAGATTTGTTCAGTTTTTAAATTGCCTCTCTCTCGATAATTTAGCCTTTGAATTTTTAATAAGATAATTTGGTATATGTAATAAAAATGTTGAATTATTTAAAATCTAGAAAAAGGTAAGGACTTCAAAAAGGTAAGGACTTATTCAATTATATTAAAAAGATATTTTATCTAATATTCTCTCAATAATTTTTTTTTTTTAATTGCACAATAATCAGTTTTGCTTTGCGTATAATAAGACACATCCAATTTATGTTTTCCTGAAAACTCTCGGTATGAGTTATACACGGTTCTTTGTAGATCCTCTTTGAATTTCAGATTCAGAGGCCATTTACCAACCCTGATCTAATAGAGAATTTAGGGTTGAGGAAGGCAAGTGTTGCAGGCATAGTTACAAGCAGGAATAATTGGTGAAGTTAAGATTAGATTAGGTGAGTCTTTCATAGACATATAACATCTGGAAAGATTTTTAAAGATGCATTAGAAATTTTATCCTTAATCTGTCAGAAGGATGGTTTAATATTAAAACATTATAAAGTAAATTTAATATGCAAAATATGACTTGAAGAATTTACCTACTCTACAGTAATGATAGTGAAAATTGTGAACATTTGGAACTGAAATATGCTAATAAATATAAACATTTTTCTTATTTTTGTAAGGGATATTTTGTTCATACCTGCTTTGTTTGATAACAAATTTATGTATTTATCTATTGAATATTTTTGGTTAAATGCAAATTTCAAATTAACATTTATATCTACTTTGTATATGCTTTATCAACAAGAAATACTGGCTTAAAGGGTGTTTACATTTCCTTTTAATATAAAATCTCCTTTAATATCTGTCTGTATTTCTGAGATGAAGTATTGTAACTATTTACACCATTTACATTGTTTGGACTATTATCCTCATCTTTGTCATATTCAGTGTCTGGGGTGGGGTGCTGAATACTTATGCAAGTCCCTGTATATTTATGGTTCCTAGAATCATCTAAATGTCTGAAATTTGGCACATGGCCTAGTGAGTAAAAGTGCTAGTTGAAGTAATCCAGTAACTTGACCCAAAGAGTTGAGTTCATAGCAGTGGTCGACAAAAACTTGGAGAGTTGAGTTATTAAAGGGAGATAACTGAAACTGAGATATCCAGAAAAGGCATGAAAAGTAGAACTAGGATAATCTACCCTTGTGGACAAAATAAAGGGTTTAGTTTGAGATTCCAATGTATATCAGTTGAAGAAGGCAGTAGCATACAGCAGCTGAAATGTTGTGAATATGACAGTAATGATTCAGACAATAGTTTGAACAATGTAGGTCAAGTAAAATTAAGATTTTCTACAAATTGACTTTCTATTCATTTTCATTCCATTGATATGGCGTACACTTTTTCATTTGCGCTAAAATGATTTTATGTTCATTTGAGCCAATAAAAGATCCATTTTAAACTTGACACCTTTCCATTTCAAAACTTTATCAGAACTTGCAGAATACATGGAATATATTTGTTACTTTATTTGATAAATTTTTCTTCTATTTTTATATTTGTTGATTAACTTGTATCATACTGCCATTAGGTCTTTCATCACTTGGTATTGTAGTTTCTCTTTCACAGTTTACCTTCATTATTGTATTGGTTATACTATATTTAAATTTCATATCCAAATATGACATCTTTGATAGGAAATGTATTTATATCTTAACTTCACATTGTTTTATAATTTCATATTGTTTTTCTCATCTTTTGAAACCTGTCAAATGCTGTTTCCCCTCTGTCCTCTCTGTGAGTGTATCAAGACATTTGTTGTCCACCCTCCATCTCTAAGTTTATCAAACATGTCTTTGTAAAAGTAAGACGCGTGATCTTTTATTTTTAATCAATCAACCTTCTATGAATATAGGTGTATTCACTAATGAGTACAGTTGTTCTAAATCTGTCATTGCATTAAGAAAAGGTACTTTCATAAATAGAATTTTTTTTCTGATTGCATTAGCTGATAATAGTTTTAATTTTATTTTAGTTAGAATATTCTGATAACTTTATTTTTCTCTGAACATAACTAGTTTTCTCTTAATTGGGTTTGTTTCGTTTGAATGTTGAATTACTTCACTATAAGAAAAGATCACAAGTCAGAAAGTTATATAAAAACTATTTTTAAAAAAGAGAAAATAAAGAAAAATAAATTTAAAATAATAAATTTTAAAGTCATAATAAGAAAATGTATTCATTGAATTTTTCTCTTGTAGTTCAACAATTTGAATTACAAACGAGTTTTTTGTTTTTGTTTGTTTTGCACATGCAAACAAAAAGGACCTGCTTTCATTATTGAACACTTGCAATTCAATCAACCCTGGGGGGGGGGTAACCCTCTTGTTTGTGGCAACACTGGGTATGTACTTGATTGATGATGTCTTTGGTAGAAGTTTGGCTAGAGACATATTTGGCCATATTTTTGCTGCAAGTAAATAATTCCCAACTCTTCTGGAACTACATTTGCTCTGACCTCCGTTGTGAATACCACATGCCTGTTAGTGTTGCTGTTACAATGTCTTAATCTTGGTGGGAAGGACCTGTATTTTGTGGTCACCGATATTGTGTTCTACAGCTGTAAGACAGTTCCTTTGACCACTGTCGCTAACATCAAATCACCATATACTCAGTAATTCCCCTAAATGACCATCTAGCCTCTCCAAGGCCCACAATCTAACACCCTTTCCTAATTCAATTAAAGGTGCATGTGAGCATTTCCATGGTGTGGCCACCTACCTTTCACAGTGTCTCACTAAAACTTTTACACAAATGGTGCAATTTTATTTTCCATCACTGTAGAAGGTTGTTGTTTGACGATAACCTGGAAAACTTTTTCTTTTTCTATAATAATTCAAAAGGAATAAAGTAAGATTTTGTATTGTTTTTCCAAAGGCATTTTCAATCTTTTTGATATGAATAGAAAGTGAATATTATTGAAGACGTCTATCAACTTGGGCATAAAAACAATTGAAAATATTCCATTCTTATAATGTAATACATTATGATCACATCTTAGTCTAAATTATTTAAGTCTTATGAAAATGCCACAGATAATCAGGAACAGTACAAACAAGATATCAAATAAATGCATCAAGAAGACTTGAAAATTCAGAAGATAAAATGTCTTTCATTTTTGTATAAGTATGATTTTTTATATATATATATTATATATATAGCATTTGGGGAGCAATCCCACTTTTATACAAGTTTCATTAAATCTCTAAATCTGGTATTTTTGAGAGTGGTGGTGGATGGGGCAAGCAAAAGAAAATTAAAATATGGTAATGGTTGGGGATTTCTTATGATTCTTAATGCTTTTCTTGTACATATGTTAAACTATTTTTTTTTCTTTTTTAAATTTTTAAAAATCTGCATAAGAATTGAGAATATTCACTTTTAATCTTTAAGGAAAATCTTTAAGTTTTGATCTTAATATATTTAAGAATACACACACACACACACACACACACACACACTTCATAGTCCATTTGTATGATTTTTTTTCTTTTTTCTTTTCAGCTGCCAATGTATTATTATCTGAAGTTGGTGATGTGAAACTAGCAGATTTCGGTGTGGCTGGGCAACTGACCAACACGACAAACTTCAGACACACATTTGTAGGGACCCCTTTCTGGATGGCACCAGAGGTCATTAAACAATCTGCATATGATACAAAGGTAAAGAGGCTTGTTAAATATGCATAGGCACATAGTAAATCACTTCAAGTATTTTTTTTAAATGTTCATTTTTATTCTGAAATGTCTTATAATTTTAGTTAGGTGAAAATGTCTTTCTTTCTCTAGCTCCATTTTTATGTTTTTACTTTTGTCTCTTTCAATAAGACTCAGGGATGTTGAGTTCTATGTCAGCCCAATTTCCCAAATCTGACCAAATATCCCCAATATTTTAAAGGACTTCTTAGTCGATTGAGAATTTTTCAGCACCCTCTCATTATTTTGTAATAAGTAAATACTGGGGAAATATTTGTACCTTTTTAATGAAATTTGAAGGGTTCAAATAGTTGATAAACTCTCCAGTTTTTAATTCAAAGTTCTTATTCTTCTAGATTGGTTGCCACTCAAGGCTTGAGAGTTCAGTCTAATTTCTTATTAATGTCGTTTTCTTTTCCTCAAGGGCATTAGTACAGAGTGAACATAATGTCATTTTTTTTCTATTCTGTTAACTGTAATACCACTTGCACCTTCATACCACAGACCTTCTGACAATTGTCTCTCATTAAGTTTATATAATCTAGATCAAGGAAATTGTGACATAAATTCATATTACAAGCATTTTAAATTTGATGTAAAATAAAAATGTAATTGTGGTCATATTGGAAAATAGAACAGTTGAGCATGCGTTTTTTTCTTTTTCTTTTTTCTTTTTTTATAACCACCAAGTAAATCTGACTAAAACTTGTGTGAATATACCTGCCATTATTGTTATTTGGTATTTAATATTTTTTATTCATATAAGTCACGGAGCTTTTGTAGTAACATTACTCATCTATCAAAAATTTAGTTCCTTGTGTTTGATAAGCGTATTTAAGTCGAGGAATCTTTCTGTGAATTTCTTGATGTTAGCTATTTCAGGAATTTACCATAGGTGATTAACGAGTATTTACATAAGTAAAATATTTGTCCACCTTTTATTTGCTTGATTCTTTCTAGTGAATCGTTTCTAATTTTAGTCAAAGTGCTGCATTCTCTTTGTCTTTGTCTGCTCGATATGAATATACTCTCCGTTTGGCCTGTTTTTCTGCTTGTCCCTCCCCCTCCTCCTCCGTTCCACACGATATTCTCCTTTTTCCATAAGATTTTTCTCATTATTTTACATCTCTTCCTGCCAATCCTGTGTTGAGTTGTAGATCGTTCTTTCACTGTCTTACTATTGGTCTCTTATCTTTATTATGTTTACACAAAATAACTTCCTGGTTGCGTAGCCAGTTGTTCTAGAAGAGTAAGGTGTGCCTCTTAGTAGCTGCTTATCTTGTTTGGTTTTACTTATTTTATTGACACTTATATAGTTAGTTCATTAGTTTCTATTTTTTTTTCTTTTAATATCTTTGTTGTCATGTTTATTATTATTATTATTATACAAATGGGATTCCAAATAACTTGCTTGTTAGAGATTCTCATGCTACTTAATAAATGTTCCCAGTCAGACAAACAAATCAGTGACGGTGATAAAAGTTTGACAGGGAAATTTATGGAAGTTATATTGTACAGCCTTCTTAAGTTTACTTGACCTTCCTTTTTATTTAAAACAATTTTCTGGCTTGAATAATTTCATGTACACTTGTGTTTATTTTATAGTGCCAGAGTGTAAAGACTTAAATTTTATTTTATTTTTTTTTTAAGTAGAATTAAAGATGTTATTTACATGCAGACTATTGTCTTCATCTTTGTTGTTTTTATCACAATGTCTTGGATGCTGTGCTTTCTGGCCTTCATTAGGTCCTTGTTGACATGGGTAACCTTCAGGGAATTTCAAGCTGAACCTATAGATTATTTTATCTATAAGTTCAGTTTGAAGTTACCTGAAGAATACGCCCAAGAAAGGCTGGACTGTACAACAGTTGAAACATTGCAATAACGTCAAGAATAGACAATAGGCTGCATGTAAATAATGCCTTGTCCCTGAGAAAGAAGTTAAAAAATGTATTAAGCTGAAAGTTTGAAAAGTGTTTTTGCACAATTTCTTATGTAGATTTTTTTTCTCTTAGTCTGTTTTAATTGAATGAAATAAAAAAAAATTGTGAAAAATAACCACAACATTCTACACATGTACACACACCAAAAAGAAAAAAAATTAACCTGACCTCAATAAAATGTACATAAATTACTTTTTTAACTTGATATAAAGAGAACGAAAATGAGAAAATAACTCTTGACAAGTGGACCAAACAATTACAAAAAGGTTTGTCTATGAAACTCTGAAGTCAGGGTGTTGAATATAACAAAAGACAGAAGGAAGTCAAGTCACATTGGTGAGAAAGTGTCTGAAGTCAAAATTCCAGATCTGGATTGATTACATTATAAACCATTCTTTAAAATTTGTCAAAAATCTTGAGCAGGAGCACCAGACCAGGTATGGTGGTAACAGTATTCAAGGCATGGATGAAGGGTAGATTTATAAATCTGCATGATGGATTCTGATAAGAAAAATTTGAATTCAATGGTAAATGTTAATTAAACAAATTGAAAATTATACAGTGAAAACTTGATATCAAAGTTCAGCAAATAACACGTTGGGCTACAGACTTATTGATGTATTCTTATAAATTTATATGCTCTATATCTGTATATGGAGATACAAGACATTTTCAAAATCAATGTGTATACATACAAAATAAAACTATTTTTTTTTTTAATTACAAGCACTAATTACTTTTCAGGTTAAATCTTTTAATATTATAGAACTTGATGTTTTGCACAAGATTAGTTGTTTTTCTGCTAATAATCCTTAGAAAAATTTTTTTTGTCAAAGAATTGTTCCATTTTTATCAAAGAGTGCTAAATAATTTTCAATCTTATGAAGCCCTTCAAAAACTTTGATGTTTGGTTAGCTTTTCTTTAGTAGGTTGGAGCAAAAACATTTCAGCACCTCTCATATTTTGAACACTTCTTTTGGTTTTATTCTTTAATCTGTAAGAGACAGTATTGCACACATTGCCATGTCCTTTCAAGATGTGGGTGATTATGGCTCTCTACAACTTCCTGTTTACTTTTTTGCTCTCTCCAAAACCCTGTTTTGTTAACCATTTACACAAGCTTATTAGGTAGGTTATTTGCTGCTTTCCTGTCTCTCTTGCCTTCAAATATATCCTATGAGTGTCAAATTCTACAAGCCCTTTTTCCTCTTCAAAGGACCTAGAAATTTTGACTGTTTTCTCTTGACATAGAATTAGCAAGTATTTCAAGTTCTGCTCTAGTTTGTGGCATTCACCTTTGCACTAATGACATTGGGAAAGGTATGAATCCAACTATTTCTCCTAGATATGGGTTAAATAGCATGAAGTGGACTCTAGCTTTGGGTGTCAGCCAATCTAAGTGAGGAGAAATCAATAGGATACCACTCCAATATCTTTCTCAAGAAATCAATACAATTCATAAACAATAAAGAAAAGTAATCTGTGAGAAAGTCATGATCACCTATATGCCTGAAGGGAGATAGCATTTAAAAAAGAAATGTTCAGATATATATGACAATTCATCAGCTTCATGATTTGTAATTCAACTTCTCTTTCAGAGAATATTTATTTACTTCAAAATTCATTTTATTAATATTTTGTAACTTTTTTTTTTTTTTTTTTAGGCTGATATCTGGAGTTTAGGTATCACTGCCATTGAATTAGCCAAGGGCGAACCCCCCAACTCTGACATGCATCCAATGCGGGTGTTGTTCCTTATTCCTAAAAATAACCCTCCCCAGCTGTCTGGCAGCTACAGTAAATCTTTCAAAGACTTTGTGGAACTCTGCTTAAATAAAGAACCTGAAAATGTAAGTATTGTAGTCATTTCTTGAAAATATTTTTTAGCTGTTAATTTTTTTTTTTTTGTACACATTAACGTATTATTTTTATTTATCACTGGGTAATAATTTTGTTTATAATATTTCAAGTTTCTTTTATGATTCACTATTTTTCAAATTGAAAGTTTTCAATCTGAAAACCAGATAAAAGTTGGTGATCGGGAACTTAAAATAGTGAGATAATTCAAATATCTTGGTTTAATCATCAGCAAAGAAGGTCCCAAAATAGAAATAGTTTCAATAACAACAGGAACAGTGGTAACTGTCACAAAATTAAGAACCATCTGAAAAGACAAGAACATCTGCCTGATTTCAAAGATCAGACTGTGTGACTTGGCCTTCTAAATCTTTCTGTACACATCTCCAAATCTTTGATATTTACAGCAGAATTACAGCGAAGAATCCAAGCATTAGAAATGGAATAGAAACATCCTAGGCATCTCCTATATAGATCGCACCACAAACAATTATGAAATCCCATCAGACAAGAAACAGACCCATTGGAAGACCTCATAACTACTGCCAAGAAAAGAAAGTTGAAATGGTTTTTCAAATTAAAGAGAAACGTACATCAGATTAGGATTGACACTGAATCTAAAATTTTAAAAACCTTTGAGGGTGTTTTTTAAAGATCAAAATGGAACATTAGAAAATCAAAACAGATTGTTTCATCCATTGTGGTAGCAATTCTGCTTGTAATATTGCCAAAAGCACTGTTTTGAATTCTTTGCTTTCTTATCAGTCACTGACTTGGCTCATAATAATTAAAATTAATGAAACTGATAGAGGTCACCTTATTCCCTAATCTCTGGATTATAATAAAGATCACTGTTTAAGTTTCTGTTATGGTAATTTACCCACACACAAGTGGACTCTCCCAGCTATAAATAGGAGCAGGTACTGCCTTTTGGAGAGGGAAGTTTGACAGTTGGACTGAACATTCTTGCTGTAATACTCTTGTTTGTATATGTTTGTATTACTGTTCCTGTTAATATATTTGTTTAACTCAATTCCTCTCTTTGTGTCTTTATTTCTGGCCCCTAACAAGGCCACAACAGTGTAGTTTGAGTGTAAAACCATTGAAAAGCAACAAACCAAAGTTTTGTCTTGTTCTCTGGAACTTACAAAGTGACAGACATATTGACTCTATCAGTGGAACAAGAAATTCTATTTAGCCCATGACCCATATAGGTGTTGTTTTTTTTTTTATTATTATGTAATTGAAATAAAATGCAAGGCAAATACTGCCTGTAATTGCTGCTGTAAATAGCAAAAAAAGAAGTGAATTCTGTACCACAGACTTTCAAAGCATTTGTTTGGAGTGGATTACTTTAGTAAAAATCACAGGACTTGTTTACCATTCTGAGGACAACTTCAGTCATGAAGAATTTTGTTCTGCCACTGCATGGGGACTAGGGATGTGTGAGTGATGTAATAGGGAGTGGCTCAGAATTAGTAATCAAAGAGCCAACTTTAAATTCCAGTTGGTTTCTTTGTTATCTCAAAAAAAGTGTTAAAGTAATATTCATTCACAAAAAAAAAAAAAGAATTCTTACAATGCAAAATACATTTTAGATTTAAGTAGGTACACAAAATCCTTAAAAAAAACAAAAAAAAACAACAAACAAATCAATTACTGCATAGATAAGTGTTTTAGAATTTCAAAGTAATCTATATAAATGCAGATGTCAGTGTGTCACTGTCACACACTTCTTTGACTTTACTCTGAGAAGCTGTAGCCCAACATATACCATTTTGTAACCAGGCCGACTCTGTGAGCAATTGAAAAACATTCTGGGCCAGATCTGGGCTCACAATCCTGAAATTTTGGATTCCCAAATATCAAAATTAATTGCAACATCCAGTAAAAGTCACCCATGAAATAAAAATAATTGTTTGTATGGAAAGTAAGGGCCTACATACACCAAATTGCCTTCAAATTAAGTGTCAGCAAAAGAATTATTGAACTTTTAAAAGGTAAACTTAAATATTAATGCAATAATTAAATGCAACAATCAATTTTGAATTCTTCTGTAGTTTATTGTTGCCGATCATATCTACTCCTCCCTACCTTTTGTGATGAAGGCCCAACCAAGAGCCATCTGCAGGATCTAGCTTAAATGCTGCCTGATAAGACAGCTTTATGCTAGTTGTTAATATGTGAATAAATGTAAAAGAATATTTCTGTGTATATCTTTAATTCCATTCAATTTTATTTGGAATATAGGCTTACAGCTACATCATGTTAAAACAGGTTCTTGTATGATCACCAAAGTTAAGCAATATTGTGCCTCCTCAGTACCTAGTCGGGTGACCACTTGGAAATACCAGGTGCTGTTAGCTTTGACGTGCGGATGGTACAATGGATTATTGTTAATTGGAGAGCCAAGTTCCAATTCCCATTTGGTTCGTTATATTCACTTATGTGAAAATACTCTTGGGAAGGTATAAGTCTCTCTTCTCCCCCTGTTATGGGTTAATTAGTAAGACTTGTATCGCTAAAAAAAATTCTTACAATCTAAAAATATTTTCTGGCTTTAAATAACCTGCATAGGTTTAAGCAGCAGAAAATCAATCAATCATTGGAATATGAACTCTTTATAAAATAGCAGTGTTTGTTGATTTTTTTAATTTATTTATTCATCATAGATGAGTTAAAATTAAAAAGTGTGACTATCTGAAATAAAACAGCTAAATTTTTTAAATGTCTTTCTGTGGAAAAATACTATTTAACAAATAGTGGCTTCTACAGGAGATTAAATGACAGTAAGTCTCCTCAAAACTACAGAACCCTCCTCAGTATTTTAGCTGTTTTCGGTAATGCTGTCACCTAGATAAACTTGATTTTATTCTTGGATCTCCAGTTCTTCTGACTTTCTTGCTAGGTCCTTTGGTACTGTTCCAAGTGTGCCATATTGGTCACACCTTCATATTCTACAATTTTCCAGTTTGTCTAGATTTTCACTTTTTTCCAATTTTACTCTACAGTATGTTGAAAAAAACAACAAATTTTCTTGTTTATGATAACTAGACTTAGTTTTCTGGTCAGGATGTATGAATTGCAAAGCTCCACAGACACCCTGCTTTCTGTATAAACTGTTTATAATGTTATTGTTTAAAAGACATTAGTTTTGGGGAGTGATTTGCTAACTCTTCAGCATGGAATATGTATGATTATACTGAACATAAAGTCGGTGATCGGTTTTCAATTGTTATTGAAAGTATTGTTTTAATTGCACTATTTGAAAAATACCTGTTAACATTTTGGTCTTGGTTCACCTTTCTCACCTTGGGAAAGCAGTCCATCTAGAGCAGGGGTCACCAAACTTTTCTCACAACGGGCCTGATAACTGAGAGAATGACAAACACAGGCCGGATAACCATTTTGTTTAATACACTGAATGCACAAAAATAAAGATAACATACTTACTTACTAAAAAGTTATCCAAGAAGACGACATTAGCAGTAAAATAGTTGTATCACACCAAGTGTGCACATATCCAATTCTCTCAAACTAAGCAGCACAAAAGGTTAGTGAGATTTGTGAAACTGGCGTTTACCTTTTTAAAATATAATTAATATTTGTTTCGGTATTGCTGCATCCAACCATGTGGTGCGGGCAGCACAAGGCTTGCACCCTGGAAAGGTCATTCCCGTCTCACTACCAAAATCCTGAATTTAATCCAAACAGGATTCTATCATTATCTTCTGAGATAAACTGATGCCTGTGTATTAGCAAATCAAACGGGCACCTGAATCTGTTTCATTTATGTTTTAAAGAAAAAACAAAATATTAAATTTTAAAAATGCTTTGTAAATCATTCTCAATGTCTGTCTTAAGAATTTCTCTCTCCCTCCCGCTACTTACTGTTCTAGTTACTATTTCTGTATTTTTTATATATATATATGATTTACTGTATTTTTCCACTGATGGAATAGTTGTAGACTATTTGGTTTGAATTATACTCAACTTTCTGAGTATGTCAAATTCTTTGATGTTTTGTTATGAGTGTGTTTCTTCCTTTCTTTATTTTTTCAGAGACCTACTGCTAAAGAACTTTTAAAAACACCTTTTATTAAAAAAGCAAGGAAAACAGCCTATTTACAAGAACTGATAGAACGTTACAAGAAGTGGAGACTCTCTGGTGGCCGGCCAGATTCTTCAAGTAGTGATGAAAGTGATGAGTAAGTATTAGCATGACGTTGTTATATTTAGACAACATCTCACTTCCCTTTTTCTTTTTTCTTTTTTTTTTTTAAACCATATCCACTGCAAATAACTATTTTAAAACAATATGAAAAGTTCTTGATTTGGCTAAAAAGTAATTAAAAAAAAAAAAAAAAAATCTGATATTTGGTCATTTTGGGAAGTGATTTTCTAACTCTTCAACATGGAATATTTATATGATTATACTGGACATAAAGTGGGGGACCGGTTTTCAAATGTTATTAGGTAATAAACTGGTCACCCCAAGTATTATATGTAACAATATCAGCCTGACCAAGAAGCCTGTCCAAAAGAAAATTCCAATGTTTGGTCATTTGGTCAGATTTTAGGAAGTGGGTCGTGCCGAGAACTATTCACTACCCCTTCAGTATTTATGTTTATACTGAAAATAAATTCTAATCAAAAACTATCTTTTTGAATGAATTTAATTAAAACTGAACCCTCCTAATGCCATCTTATAACTAGCTAGCTTTTTGACCAATGCATTATTAGTCTTTTTTTCCTCAAGCAGAGATCTTGCCTTACAGGTGTTTTCCAAGTTGTACAACTTCAGACCAATAGTACCTTTTACAGAATATTTGCTGTGTCAAACAACAGAGACTTCTGAAATAATGGGCTGCTTATTCTGATCTTCTTAATGTGGGTCTTTTAAGTTTGGTGGTATAGACCCCCAACACGCCAATAATAACAACAATGGCTTGAACCAACACACAATTATTATTATGAAAATATAAACAATAGGCAGTTATGAAGAAAAATATAAATTTTACTAGTCGTCCTTTTTCTTCTCTTATGTTTTCCTAAAATGTTGCAGCATATTTGATTTCACCTGTAGTTGTGGTCAATTAATTTTTGCCTCCATAGCATGTGTCATGTCTCTGGAAGTGTTTGATGGATTGGCAGAATTGATTTGTTTATGCAATCTTCAGATAGGTAACTAAACCAGAATACTGTAAACAGAAACGATCTCAGCTTGGTCTCGAGTTTGAAATATCAAGATTATTTTTTTTTTCTTTATTGATAAGTCCATGGCCAAATGATGAAGAAAGCATTTTATGCTACAAATATTTTCCAGTATAATCTCCTCCTCCTGTCAATGCATTAATCTGATCTTTCTATTTCATCACATCTCTTGAACATTATACAGTGAATTTTAGATCAAAATTCACCTAATAACTTTGGCAGCCCTCACAGTCTTGTTGGTCCTCTCTCACCGATGCTGAAAACAAAACTTTAGGCAATTTACTGTCACTTTAGTTTTGATTTGTTGTTTAAAATGTTCACATCAGGGAATAACTTGTAAAATAGATTCAATAATAACTTATTAAATAATAATAATTATTATTAAAATAATATATAAACAAATGAAAATCCCAAGTATTTATTCCATACAAATTCATAATCGATGTCTGAATCAAGCAGATTTGTGAACAAGATATTTTCCAACATTTTTTTAACATTGGATGGATTTTTAAAATATTATTTTGTGTTATAATAGAAACTTTTTCTTTCTTTTTTTTTTAATTACTGTTATATAGGAATAAAGTGTTGCTGCTGACACTGGAGTTTGAACACAGACCACCAGTGAGCAAACACAGGGGATCCCATTTTGAATAAGTAGATTATGTGATGGTAAAGGAAATGTATATATGGGAATTACTGTAACATCTAATTGATCACTATTCCTACACTATCCTCTATTACTATATGGATTGCTATTCTCTATACTATTTCTCTATACTGATCACTCTACGGTTTATTTTTGGATCACTATTTGGTGGTTACTATTTGTGCAAGTACTATTAGTGCAAGTGTTATTTGAAGGCGTCTGACACCAGTATTGTCCAACAGCGTTACTATAGTTGTATCTGTGATTACAAAGTCTCTACTACAACGAGCATTACAAAAGTGTCAACAAGTGTTTGATGACATCACAAAATTTACTAAGTGTTCTCTCATATGGGAATTTTTGTGAATTTCCTTCATCCATTATTCAATTATTTTAAATTTGGAACTTTCAAACTGGTTGGGCAATAGTTATTGGTATGGAAAATGGAAGTGCCAAGCAGAGATCATATTTCAGTTGAGGTTATGGCATCCACTTTGCACTGATTCCATTAAGAAATGAATGAATCTCTCCTCCCTTCAGCTTTGGGTAAAATAATAGGGCAAACTAGACTCTTTAGCATTTCTAGGGTATCTAGTCTCAGAGAATTTCTAACCGCAAGGATAATAATGAAACAATTCTCTTTTCCAAGAACATGACAATGCATAATTTACTATGGGGAGTCGTGAACATCTGCTTCCTGAAAGGATGTTACACACACACACACACACTATGATATTGCACTTTGAGTGCTAGTGTTAAACTTGTGCTCAGTGTAATTATAACAGAGCTATAAATTATATATTAATAAATATAGATTTTTTTTTCCTAACCAGTAGCACAACTCATTGTTTCATGCACATTGGTAGGATAAAAAATCTACATACACATACATATACTTGCACATATGTATGTATAAATATATTTCTTCCTCAGGTGTCATAAATACAATGCTCAATGTTATGAAACAGAGCTATAAGTGTATATTAGTGAATATACATAATATCGAACGCTGATAGTATGGCTTGGAGTTTCATGTAGTTCTTGCAATCTTCATGTTTTAACCATTATTTTATTTATATATATATATATATATATATATGTATATATATGTGTGTGTGTGGCCAAGAATGTTCGCTTTCTGACCATGTGACCCAGGTTTGAATATCACCATGGTCGATTTGTCAGAAAGGGAACTTCCTGATGTTATCGGAATAGGTTGAGGTTGATCTCAGCGTGCAGCATGTTTCCTTTGGGGCGTGCTTGAAACCATACCGTGGACTGACTCAAGCCTTGTGAGTGAAATTGAGTAGACGGAACTCTTGAGGGCCATCTATAGTTGTGCTAGCACAAAGCCTCAAGTCATCATGGCTGAGGGTTTGAGCATGCTGGTCTTGTTCAAATTGTTAATCATGCTAGATAACACGCTCTCTCCCAGAAACTGTAACTAAGGTCTGCTCAGCATAGTTGCAGTATAAACCACAGGTGGGCTCTGTGGGTGTTGAACAAACACAAATGTGCCTGAGCGAGTGTCGGCAATAGGGATTGGCTAGACGTCCTAGTAGACAGGTATCCTCGATTCAAGTGGTATATATATATATATATATATATATATATATATATATATATATATAATTCTTTTGATTCTTTTTCACTTCCAGTATACCCTTCTGTTATGGTGTTATTATTGCCCTTGTTTGGGGTTAATTGATTAAAATATATATGAATGACAAAGTGTAAAAAGTGTGCAACACTTTCTGTCTCTTGGAAAGACTAGTTTTTTTTCTCACTTTCTTTCATTGTTCTGATATATAAAAATATATCTATCATATTCTCCACATACACACATATGTGTGTGTGTGAACATTGAAGTCAACACTCAGAGGTGACAGGCTGTTTTATGCTAAACACAATCTTTAGGCCAATTATATATATATATATATATATATATATGTCATTTTTAGATTAAAAAAAAGAAAATGAACTAGAAACCTTTACAGAATGGGTAAGCCTCAATTTTTGTACTCCAAAGATCTGATAATTGTGTTTTTGCTTAATAGAAGTTATTACAAATGTGTCACTGAATGCTGCTGTCTTGTATTTTAGATCTGATATAGATGGTGAAGCATGGAATGATGAATGGATAATGACATTAAAATCCTCATATGATGCTGTCAATGGTGAAGCCAATGCTGTCCCTGCTAATGTAAGTGACATTTTGTTTTTAATCTTGTATAAGCTGAGCCTGCAGATTGAAAAAAGAAGAAACACACACACGTTAGACCAATGAATGACAGTGGAAAAATGAATTCTGTGTAATGAATGTCAGAAGGACTTCATAGTTAATGGTTTTGTTGATGGATTTATGTGTAAGGGAGAGGGGGCAGATGTAAAAACGCAAGCGTCGGTTAAGATTATGTACCAAGAGGAAATACTGAAGATGCAAATTTTAACCCAAAACATGTCTGATCATTTAGTCTAGCAGATTTTATTCCGTTTCCTTACGGTTTTGCTTTTGGTTCCTCTGCCAGTATATATGCAATTCCATCAGCAAAAACATTACTTCAGTCTGATGAAGTCCTTCATGAAGATGAAATGTGTTACCCAGGATTTTTCATTCATTTGCCTAACTTTGTTCTGATATAGAGAAATTTGTGTATCATACACACACACACACACACACACACACACACACACACACACACACATATATATATATATATATATATATATATATAATGGATTTTTATTGATCTGTCAGAATTTTATCACTTTAAATGTAATTTTTATTGTCTACTTGTATTTGAGTAGACACCCCATTTATTTATTAAATAGTATATTTATTTATTTTCACCTACCAGCCTGAATATTCAAGAAATATTATTGAAGAATAGTTTGCACTCTTTGAAAGCAACTGAATCTGTGCCCCTTAGTGCAGAGCAAGCCAACATTTAGCCCAGCGCACCTTACTGCTAGGCAAAGCACTGGGCTAAACAGTAGCTTTCTCTGCCCTGAGGGACACAAGTTCAATTCCTGCCTAAGAGTGTGAATTGTTCTTTATTTTTCTTTAATAAGATTTCTCGAATATTCAGACTGATCAGTGAAAATAAATAAACACAGCATCTACTTAAATACAAGTATCCACTAAAAATGTTTAGACACACACATGTACACTAGGGTCATGACTTTTTTTGTAACCCTATGTTCCTGTGTCACAAATCTGTAAACATTTGTTTAAAAGTAATGAAAAAGTCATTAATTTGTTATAGTTCTTGAAAAGATGACATCAAACTGAAAATTCCATTTTACCATGTACACAATAAGGGTAAAAAAAAAAAATCAAGAAATTTATGAAGCTTAATTTTTCAATTTGCTAATGATGTAATTGTATAGTACTTATGTATAGATATTTTTTTTTAATGACTTTAATTCCTAATGATTTCAAATGTTTCAAAAGTGTTGTGTGATCAAATCTTAATGAGGTAATGCCTCCAATTCTTTGTCTTCAAACCTTTTTGGTGTGCTAGAGCATTCTTTATCTTCAACATAAATCATTATTTTTGAAAGGTCTAAACCAATCTCTGCATGTTGTTTCTGACAGAGCAAGGTTGTCATAAGTCTCAAGAATACTTGTGTGTGCTTCAGCTGCAGATTTCTTTTGAATAAAGTAGTGCAGTGAAATTCACTGCAGATACACTTTTTTTTGCATGAAATCCAACATATTTAATGTTATGGAAAACAAAGTTGTTTGCACTTCGCCAAAATGACATTCACTGAATTTCAAGCTCACTTATAGTAGTTCCTTATAAATGTGTAACCATCTGAAACTACACACAATTCTGGGAAGGCCATCTGTTGAAAAACAGCGAGAACTTATTTAAGGTCCTTATATATATATATATATATATATATATATATATATATATATATATATATATATATATATATATATATAATATGAATGTTTCTAAACTTAAAGGTATGATTAAAGTTTTCAATCTTGTTTGTGACAAAAGCAGTTGTCGTGTAAAAGTGACGGAGCAGATGGCGTGGAATGTTTTTCTTGTGGGCCACTTTGTACGAATGTGAAATGACATGTAAATCAAGTGCCACAAACTCCCAACATTAATGTATCCTGTCCAGCTCTCATACTGGGGAGGGCAATGCGTGAATTGATCATTAGATTGTTAAATATTATCTTAACACTTTAATCAAGAGCCACGACATAGACCTTTCTTTCTTTTTTTCACTCAAGTTGACAACATCCTTCTGGTATCCTAAATAACTTGTTTGAGGGATTTTATAAGTGTCTCTTTTGGACAAAAATTTGTTAATATTTTATTGATTTCTTAACTCTGAAGACAAATTAACTTAGTTTTTTATTTTTAATTTAATTTTTTTTTATTTATTTTAATCTCTTAAAAGATAGGTAGTTACTTTTTAACCTCTAAAGGGTAACAATTTTTATGTGTTGTAATTAATAAGTTGTGTAGTCATTAATGCCACAAAATGGATGCTTTCCCCACCCACTTCAAACTTATGAGACTATCCTGTAAACCATGCTGAAATTTTCAGTGTATAATCTTTGCTATATGTCCTTAATATTCAAAAGTGATTTAAGGGCAGTGGAAAAGAAGAGACTTATGGTAAAAACCAGATATTTGTTATGTAAAATGTTGTTTTTTTTTTTTTTATCCTCCATATTTAGGCTACTGACTTATTGATGTGACTTGATTGACAGAAAGATATTAATAGATATATATATATATATATATATATATATATATATATATATATATATATATAGAGAGAGAGAGAGAGCCAATTATTAAATGGGTACTGATTTCTCTTTCCTATAACATTTTGTTTATTTCGTAATGTTTTTTTTCTTTTTTTAATTCTTGTAACTTTAGACAGAATAGTTACATATGAAGTGTGCATGTAAGGTGTGTGTGCGTATGTGAATACTGGTTTGACCTGTTCGTTTTTTTTCTCCTGTATTTTCAACCACTGCCCGAATCTATCAGGCATGGTAACTAATGACTATGGAATAACAATCCCTGTTTCACTAACATGTTTAGTTGTGTGTACTTTATTTTCTACAACAATGTCACTTCTGTTATTTCGAAGCAAATGTTTTATAATTCTTTATTATTTTGTGTATGTGATGTTGGGCAGGGGATGTTAAAATACAACTTGATCTTTGTGTGAGAAAGAATTTTGTATCCTCTTCCCATTAAATTAAGACCTGAATTTCGTGTTAATCAACCAAGAATTTCAAATTACTTTGCTTGTAGTTGGTGTCATAAGTATAGATAGATGTGTACTTAAGCACATATAAACCTGGTGTCTTGAGGTTGTCATTGTCCTGCAAGGTCGTCACCATAGCCATCGACTTTCAGTGTACCTACGACTTTTTTTCTAACTAGTCAATGACAAGTGCACTGAAGTAAACCATTATCAGTTTGTAATGGATTGTTGGACACACCCAGTCAAGAAATGTAAAAAAAAAAAAAAAAAAAATGGTGTCTGGGGTGGGGGTCTAAATTAATCAGGAATCCCAACTGGTTTTTCTTCTTCTGGTTTAATTCAGTTTTCACTTTAGACTATTGTCTGTATATATGTCTACTTACTACAAATCTGAAAATTTGGCTTGACTAAGGCAAAGTATCTATTGTCATTCAGTTTTGGCTGGATTAACATTTTTTTACACAAAGACAATAACTTGAATGTAGTAATCAAGATGGTTACTTATTTAGTCTATTATTTAAGTGAAAATGTTTTTTATTTTTTTAGAATTGGTAAAGATTGATAATGACTCTTCATAAGACACCTCATCAAATAGTTATTTGGTTACTAAATCTAGATATAATTTAAATTTTATCTCTAGATATAATGGACAATGACAAACCACATTTAATATTCTTTTTACAGCAAAGACATAAATTTCTATCTGAACTAAGAAATTTTGATTTGTCATTATACAGGGTGTGGCAGAAATACCTCCCACATAATGGTAAGACATTAGTGGCAATGGTGTTTTCATCTAGCTAATGTCTTCTTACCATTATGTGGGAGGGATTTCTGTTGCACTCTGTATAAAGTAAATGTATTAAGTTATAAAACTATTGCAAAATATCTAAGTTCTTACCTGTAATTGTTTGTTATGTTTGAAGTGTTTTGTTCTTGTGTCCTTTGAACTGCATTTTCTTTCTTTTTATTTTTATTTATTTTTTTTTTTTTCTTTTTGCTATGCTTGGCATCAATTTTGGTCATGACTTTTTATGGTTACAAAATGACTACAAATGCATGCTTGTCTTTCAGTGGATATTTTCTTCAATTTATGTATAATGTAGATATTTTTTTCTATTAGATTTTAGTGGTAAATTTGGAATTATGCCATTTGAATTTTCCATCTTGGTTTGCATTTCAAAACTTCTTTGCCATTTATTAAATTTTCAGATTTTGGTATTCACTCTGATGTAATTGCTGAAGTGTAAATATTTGTTCTTTTATGACTTCAAGAATCTGATATCTTTGGAATTGCTTCTTTTGGAATGGAAGTCTTTTAAATTACAATTAAAATGCATTTACCCAAAAGAAAAATGTCTTATTCCAGATGAAACTTTTAGATTTATCCAATTTGAGAAAATTAGTTGTGAATGTCATAATGGAGAAAAGCATTGTCCCAAGGTTTGTGATCCATCCGATGACATATTGCCTGCTTTTGGACTCTGACTTTACAGGCTGCTGATATTTTGTCTTACTTTGCTTAACCCACACTCAATGTTTGTAGGTTGACAACACTAACTATGTGGAGAAAAAGCAACCTTTACGTCCAGCCCCTCTACCTCCAAGTACAACAGCTCTGCTCCCAAATGAGCAACCCGTGAGTTCTTCACTGTTATTCCAAAAGCTGTATTTTGACAGCAGAGCTTCTAGCTTACCATTTCTGAAAAGTCTTGCTCGGATTCCTTTGATACTATTCTTAAAAACGGTTGAGGTTATCAAACAATTGTTGATTATGTGCATTGAATATCTCTACAGATTTTTATTTTCTATTTGCATCCTGGAAATTAGGATTTTCTTTTCTTATTTGACACCTCTTTTAAGAAATAAATTTGTATTAAATGTAAAACATATTTTTTTTTTCTTGCAAATGTTATGGAAATTGTTAAATATTCAATTGATTACTTTAAAAACTGAACATCTCTTTACCATGGAAACAATGTTCCTCTTTAAGTTGTTAGCTTTTTGATCAATTTAAGAAAAGAAAGACTTTTAATGCCATTAAGATTAAACTCTTCATCCTGAAGGGCAAAGATAAATATTACTTAATTTAGTTGTACAGAAAAAACCTGTCACCTCTTTAAGAATGCCATATTATTTCAAAATCTTAAAATTTCAAACCAAAAACATAACTGTATTTGGATCAAAATGCTAGCAGTGTTGACTGTCTCCTTTTGTGTTTTGCCCAAGTTTCTTGAGCCCAAATATCGACCATTTGAGAGAGAGAGGAAAAAAAAAATCAAAATGCTGCCTGTTTAGAAAATATTGGGTTGTAATGAAGGTTCAGTTTACTTAGAAATATAGTGATGATTGGAAATGCACTTAATCCTTAATTTCATGTCTCAACAAATTTGTTGGTATCAGACTTGTTAAAAAAAAAAAAAAAACACTGCAAAAAACATTGTTTTCAATCTTTTGAATTGGAACAAACATGGTTTTCCTCAACAAATATTAGTTGAAATAAGATTTTGATGAGATTGTCAGTCAAGTGGTATGTAAACGTACATTATTCTGACAAAGAATGACCACTTTTCTGTTCACTAAGGATAAACACTTTATATCCAAAGCTATTTACAACTCCAAAATGGTTGGCAGTAAACATGGACTATGGCTGTTTGGCCATTATTTAAAACTTAAATTTGTAATGAATGATTCCTTGCATCACCCGCCAAGCACTCAAAAAGATCTCTGCTGAGAGACAAATTTACCATGACTGGGCCACTGACAATGTTGATTCCTTTCTTATAGCCACCCTTAAGCCCCCCCCCCCCCCACACACACACTAACAAACTACCAAGAAGGAATTGGCTTATAAATACAGTTTGCTGACAAAGCTTTCTTAATGTCTTCAAAGTGCAATGTCTAATGTTGAATTGTTTGCCAAGTTCTTGGTTGTAACAACAGGATTTGTTGCAAGTATGGCTTCCACTTGGATGGCTTCCTTGGCTCTTCATTGCCAATCCCCATTTCTAAAGGGAGAAACTAACTTCCTGCAAGTTCTTTCATTCACTGTTATCTTTTGCCATAAGTTCTCTGAAGTTTTTTTTTTTTTATCTAGAGAATAAGTAAATTTTTTTTCTTTAGGTTCTTAGGGCACTTTCAAACTGATTGTTTTCTTTCTATGAAAAGTACAAATAATATTATTTTGATGAGTCTGATTTTAAATACTGAGTAGGGACTGTCAATTCAGGTATTTTTGTTGGAGCACTTGTACAAAAATAAGCATAACTTAAGTTACATTTTTTTTTTCTAATAATTTATCAATTCTTGTCTGTAAAAATATAAAGTAAATATTTTCATATTATATTTTCTTTTTAAATTGCTGTCATGTTAAATAAATTTGTCTTGTATCTTAAAAACAAAACTAAAACCCAATTGAGTTAATCTCCTGCTTGCTACTTCATCAGGTTGAATTAACTGATTAGTTAGCAAACAAGATAATCTTATAGTTTCACAATTTTTTTAATTTATTTTTTTATCACCTAAATATCTATCAAATGTATAAAGCCACATCTTTTAGTTCCCTCAGAAATTTCTAGAAAAAATTTTATTATATAAATATGCTTAAATTCAAAAATTGATGAAAAGCACACTCTCTTGTCTGATAACTTCAGTCTTGTCTCTAGAAAGATTAAAATCTAGACTTACCCTCCACTGCTACTTATATTTTGTTTGTACTTGTTGCTGGGGTTTTTCTTTCTTTTGTAGTTATTTTCTCTCTCCATTATCTTATTAGCTTTTTCTTTCCAGCTTTTAGTTGTTTTTTCCTCTTAGTAAATTTACTTTGCTGTGCTGCTAAATGCTTTACAGTTTTCATTTTTCTTTTGAAAGGGAATTTAATATTGTTTAATTATCATTCATATAAATTATTATTTTTTTACTTTATAATTTTAAAAATATTCAATCTTATATACAGGCTTGTTCAAAAAGAAAGATTTCAAAAATTTAATAAGAACATTCTAAAAGACAAACATATTCAACACATTACTGGTTAGGAAAAGGCTCAGTTATTAAAGAAATAAACTTTTTTTTTTCAATCTTGTTTAAATACTTCTCTTTGTTGTATTTCAGATTTTGTATAAACTAAAATATTTATAATTTGTATCAACCCTCAAATGGCTACACCACAAGAAAAGTTGTTTTGTGTACTGCAATTTGTGAAGTGTAACCTTAAAATAATAAACTTTGAACCTTTTTTTCCCTATCCACTCATGTGTTGAATGAGTTTCACTCTCTTAGCATTTATTTTTATTACATTTTCAACATCTGCTCTTTTTGAATAAACCTATATGTGTGTATATATATATATATATATATATATATATATATATATATATATATATTATATATAGGCTTATTGTTTCAGTAAGGTCATTTATGTGGCCTGCCTGAGAAATTGATAGCATTTTTAAGAGTTGTTTGGCCACTTAATCTAGTAAAGGGGTGGGGGGGTACTTATTTGCAATCATTTTATTACTTTTTTTCAAAAGGCTTGTTCAAACATATTCAGTTCAATAGAAATCCTAACATGTCTTTTTCACTTTAGAAATTACAATTATTAATGGTATTTAATGGTTTTGTTCCATTCAGACTAACAGTGTGTTAATGCTATTGGAATTTGTAACTTTTTCTTTCTCTTCTCTGCATAAATTAGTCCTATTGTAATAATAACACATTAGATTTTCTGCAAAGGTGAGTTTATTACTAAAGTTCTTATCTTTTTTTTTTTTTTTTTTTTTTTTTTTTTAATTTATTTTGCTTACTTGAAACCTTTCTTGTTCCACTTTGTCTTTCAGCAAACTTTTATTCTGTTTGACTAACAATTTATCCAAAAATCTTTTTTTTTTTTTTTTTTTTTCATTGTATCTTGATTGCCTTTATTTGCATTGTTTAATGACTGTATCCATTTTTTCATTGTAACATTTCTGGTATTTTTGCCCAATGTCAATTGGCATTCGTTTATCTGCTTGTGTTTGTGGAATTTGATCTTTTGACACAAAATATGGTTCTAAGTATCCTTATGCAGAACAACTTGAAAGCAATCTTTTAAGTAGTTCTTCACTAAATATTTTGGAAATTTAATAGAATTTATTTCTGTGACTCAAGTATGTAAATAATTGCAATATACTGATTGGCAAAACAGAATTTACCTTCTGTCATAGTTTCAAAAATAATTCCAGGTTCAGAATTTAATAGGAAGGCTCAATTTTGAAGCGAGTTCAAAAAAAAAAAAAAAAAAAGATCTGACTGCTGTTGAAATTGTCAACTGTTTCTAATATTTTCATTTTGTAAGTCAAAATGATTAACTAGTACAACTGATTAATTTATCAAGTCCAATTGCAACAAAACTTTTTTAAATATTTGGTAAATTTTTAATAAAGTTTTTGTTAAAGACAATGTACACACTTTATAACTTTCAACTAGAATTTTCTTTATCAACCAATCTAATCAAATCCATTATCTACATTGCTTCATTGTTATGTTTATTCAAGAAATGGTGATAGTCAAAAATAGGCAAGTACACAAAATATCAACTGGCCAGAATATCAACCCAAAAATGTCCTCAGAATTAAGAGGAAGCTGTGAATGTTTTATATAAAAGGCCTGGAGATTGCATTCAAGCATGAAAAACTGTTGCCGCTTGATGTTGACCTCAGCATCCACTTTTATATTTACATACAGTCAATCCCTGATATTGAATGCTTCTACCCATAAATATGGCATACCTTAAAACTGTGTCTTCATCATTTATATATATATATATATATATCCATCCAAGTGTAAGGTAGGTTAGTACCAATGTCCAGACATTATATTTTTTTTAAAAAAGTACTCAATACAGAGAGCTTAATATTCCATTCTCCTATTTAGGAGTTTGTGTGGGACACCAGGAACCTCTTATCGCCACTGTCAAACGGAGAAAAATGCCATTGTTTAGTCACATTACAAGGCGCAACAACCTGTGCAAGACCATCATGCAAGGGATCGTTGAAGAAGGACATAGGAGAAAGTGCCAACACAAAAACTTGTTGGGCAATAGCAAAAATGGACAGGCATGACTATCAAAATTGCTGATGGCTGCTGTTAATAGATCGTTGTGAAAAAGAGTTAGTGTGGCTTCTGTATTCGGATCCACTCTATGATTACAAAAGTCAAGAGGATGATGATGAGTTTTTTTTATATAAGACAAAATAATGTGAACACAAGCTTAAACATTTATTTATTAACTAATAAGATGTTGGACCTCCATTAGCTTCTAATTATTTTACCTGAAGATAAATAATGACTAAATTAAGTGGAAAAGCAAGGTAAAAGATTAAAGTGTTGAGCAGTTACCTTTTAGGTTGGTTTGATGTTTACAAATACCTGGAAATGCCAGAATTGAAAAAAATTGCTATTTTTGCAAGCTGTTCACATTATTTTGTCTAACCTCTGTGTATATATAACAGAGAAAAGTATAAATTCAGAAACAAATGATTGTACTTTAAAAAAAAACAAAAAAAAACAAATTAGTTTTAGATTAAATCCAAAACTTCTAACAGTCTTGTTAACATTAATCAACTTTTTATAAATTTACAAAGTGATTACAAGAAATAGTTTTCAGAATGTATTCAACCAAAATTATTTAAGACATGATGCATTTTTGTTGAGGAACTTTATTGCAGCAATCTAATATAAACTTGTTGCATTTGGCATTGAGCTTTCAACAGCAGAGCAGGTTTTCCGTTCTCAGCAGGCTTTTAGAAATCAGTGAAGCGATATGTCTTCAAATATTGTTGTTAAGAAGGCTTTTTGCATGATTAAATTATGGCAAAACAAAGCTTGTTTCTGTTGAACAACATTATTTCAAAGCAAGTTTCAGAAAACGACTGCCAACCAAACAATCTTACTACAACTGGTACAAGAATTTGGAAACAAAACAATGCTTGCGTCAAGATACAAATCCTGTTGTACCATTTAGTATCTGAGGAAGAATTTGAACATGTAACTCTGGAGGCACACTCATAGCAACTGTAAGCTGCTGATAATAACACTAAGGATTTTCTCTCCAAAACTTTGCCTCATCAGTATTAATGTCTTAAAAATACTTTTAGTTTTTAAAACTTTTTTTGTCATTATCCTGCATTTAAAGATAATTGAAAATCTGATTGTGTCTCAAACTGTGTCAGTTATTGGATTAGAATTTTGCTATGGCTATTTAATCTTACTGCTCAGTAATATTGGTGATTTTCATAAAATGATCTTGACAGAGGCTTGCTGGCAAAAATCACTAATATTTGTGAAAACTCTCAAATTGAAAAGTTTTCTATTTAAACAAATTGACCTAAGACGTTTTGGAATTTTCAACTGGTGTGTTTTGAAGTTTTTATCTGTCATATAAGAGCTTAATACAATGGAATCTTGTTTGTAATTGACAAACAAAATGCTCAAGAAATAATGAAGATGGTGCTGGTGGTGGACATTTTTAATGCTTCAAAGATTTTTTTTTTTTTTTTGCTAATTCTTGAAATTTTATTCTAGCTTTTATTTACCAGTATTGTTTCCACAAAAATAAAATCTAATGTTGAAAAAGTTATGAATCAGTATGATTTACTGTTGATTTTCTTTTCAGTAAAAATCTCAAAAATACCTTGTTAATAGGTATTGTATTTACCTGTTATGAAGAAAAAAAAAATTAACTGAATTCCCTATCCCACAAGAAAAACACCAGATATTTATGTCTCATCTGTCTCTCATTGCTTGTTTCCATCCCCCCCATTTCTTAAGCAGTGATTTTATTTTATTTATTTTTTTTTTTTCCCAAAATTTTACAATTTGCCTGGTGTTTTCTTGTAGCCCATACGATCAGGTCCTATAAGTCATCATGGCCGTGCTGACTCTTCTCCAGTTATTCCTAACCATCAGAATGACTACATTGTAAGTTTTGTCACTAACTTGTAGTATCCTAACCTACAGAAACATGTATGCTTACTCATTAGTGTCTAGACCAGCACTAATATTTTATATATATATATATATATATATGTATGTATGTATGTATGTCTGTGTATGTTCTTTTCATTATGGTTAGGCTTCATTGTGTGTCTGACTGTATTTGAGCTTAAGATTGTTCCTCAAGTTACTGTAACGTTTTTTTTTTTTTTTAAATAGTAATAATAATATTTCTATGTGGCTCTACTTTTGTATGCTAACTCCATAACTTTGTCTGTTGTCTGCCTTACTCATCACCTTGCTTTTTTTTGTCTATTTTTATGATTCCATACACAATTGATAGTTTGTTAGCATTTTATTTATAGATACAATTGTGTTTAACAAATATTGTTATATATAATTTTGAAATTTTGTTTATTTTTATCCTAAATGTTTATTTCTTTTTAATTTGAAAATACTTTGGTGTGTTTAAACAATTTGGAGAAACACAAACTTTTGTATAATTTACATGATTTCTCTGTTGTATTTTTCTATTCAATCATTTTCAGTTAAAACATCAGTTGAAGCAAAATCACTCATTGGATTTCCCTTAAGAATTTCCTAAATTTTAAAAACTTTGGTTTATGTATAAAGAAAAAGTAAAGGCAGCTAATGTTCTTTTGCACATACCATGAATGATTATCTTAGTAGTAGAATTATTGGTATTATCATCATCAGCATTATTATCAAATGTACTAAGACTGGAGTTTAGCTTTTTTTTTTTTTTTTTTATTGTATCAAACTTTGTATAAATTAAAAACTGTTTTAAAATACAAAGAATTATCTATCTATCTATATAAAATTTCTTTTTTCTAAAAATTCTAAAAGGGGGTAAGAACGCAATATTTCATGGAGGTTAAAAATCTATAAATAAAATGCCCTTTTTAAAATATTCATACCTGCAGTCTGAATGACATCATTTAAAACATAACACTGGGTTGAACCTAAGTTTACATAAATATTCAGTTTTCTGTTTTTCCTTTTCTTTTTTTCCTCTCTCTTTCTCTCTTTTCCAGCCATTCAGTCATTTGACAGTATTTATCTAAAAATAAGTTGAATTTAGTTTAAATAAGCTTGATTGTCTAAATGATACCATAATGTTTAGTAGTTATTGACAGTCTCTCTCATAAAATGCTTATTTTAATTCTTTTGATTGCATGTTGTAAATTTTCCTTGTATCTATTGACCTAAATCTGGTTGGCTTTCAAGCTAGTTGAAAATAACCAATTGTCGACGCCTTAACCTCTGTAAATGCAACAACAACTTGTTGGTGCATGTATTGTCTTTTTTTTTTTTTTTTTTTCCTTCTTATGACCAACTCTTTACTGACAAGTCAGGTTCTTTGCCATTTGCTTTGTTGTTGGCTTTTAGTCTGCAACTGTTCTTCAACAATCTTAAATAATTCTTGCCGCTTATTCAATAATGAGAGAGAGAATCTACTGAAATCTATTTTCCAAATCTCTTGCTAATCTAAAATAACCTTCTGCATTAAAAGCAAACTTTAAGGTGTTGGCTGCCTTTTTCAATTACTTTTCTTACCTGCTCTCCATATCAATTGTGCAGCTTACTGGATTTCTTTGGTGGTAGCAATCATTTGGTATGGCAGTGCTATACTGTCCTTATTTTTATTCTTTTATTTTATTTATTTATTTTTTTTGTTCCCCTTGGGTCTTCAGTTTGTTTGTTGTTTTCCAGGCAGCCAGGCATGCACGCAGCAAATCGGATATTTTGCATCCTCTTTCTTCTGACTCCGCCTACTCCGATGACAGAGTAAGTGGTTTCTTACCATGTCCATGACCCCCTCCACCATCTTGTTTTTCTTTCCCAGCAAATCACTCCTCCTCCTCCTCCTTCTCATTCTTCCTCTTCTCTGGATCCTTTCAAGAGGGGATTTTGTTTTTGCTTGTGGAAAGAACTTCCATTAAATGTCGACATCCTCAACCATCCTTTGTTTTTGTGGATAGAAATAAATCTCTTTAAAAATATTTACTGTTGAGATTTTTATCCTCATTCCTAACACTAGTATCCCTTCTCTTACCTTTGTTTAAATATTCATTCACTATTGAAACTTGGTTCAATCCATGATTATTGCCCATGTTCTTCTAATTGGATTTGTTTTGCTTTGAGTTACATGGAAGGACATCAAAATTTGTTTCATTTGAGCAAGATGGTCACTTTAATTTTTTATTGTGGGTGCAACATGCTAATTTTTTACAAAGTATAATCTTTCATAATTTATTTGTTCTTGAATACAAAATTGTTTTTTTTCTTTCTTTTACAGATTTTTCATTTTTGCATCTTATTACTACAAACCCAGCACAAACACCATTTTTTATGTAATAGGATAAAGAACAAGTGGGAAACATGTTTAGCTTTTAAAGTTTCATCAGAGAATTGGTTAATTTCCATTCTGAAAAGTTAGATGAGAAATCAAATGAAGAAATGTGCCCAGAAAAAAAAAAAAATAGTATACCACAAAGATTATAGTCAAGCAAGAAAACAAAAAAACAAAACTTGCAACATGTTTTTTTTATTTTTGTTGTTATTGCAAGTGTGAAATCAAAATAGCTGATGGGAAGGTGCAATAAATGTTTCCTCCATGAATATGGATGCAATCACTCGGCTTCTAACAATTCATTGTACAACTTAGAAACTGCTCTGTGAATTTTTTTACTTTGAAAATCCTGAAAAGTGCTCACCATGTTTGTGCTTCTTCAATGTAGCTAGCTTGAGAAAATGGCAAATGAAATTTGAAAGCAGTTTCCATAGCAGCCTCTAACTCGAGAGAGAAACATTTCAATTTGCTTCTTCAAAATGTTAGTTATATAAAACTGTGGGAAGAATAGTAATTTTTTTATAAATGATAAAGTAACAAGAATAATAATGATATTCAGCATTTTATTTAAAAGAAGAAAAAAATTATATGCTTTCTTTTGGACAAGAGATTTTAACATTTTTCATAAAGGAACTCAAACTTTTTGTTTAATATTTAACCCCCCCCAAAAAAAAACCATGCATTGCTTAAAAAACTCCAGAAAATAAAAATTACTTTTGCTTGAATAATTAGATATTAAATGTGAGTTCACTATGGGACCCCGAAAATATCTTGCAAAGACAAGAATGAATAAGTTGTTGATTAATATCTTAACATAAGGATTGTGTGCCTTGACAAATATAAATAGTGATTATTTTCTATTGGTTAACTGAGGAATTGTCTTTGAAATACAGAAGTCATCACATATTTGCATTGGTTGTGGAAGCGATTTACATTTGTTATAACCTTTGATGTTGATAAGTGCAAATTATCTGTTGGTTGTAACGTAAAGCAACAAAATTGCTCAATACATTTTTATTCAAATTGGATGTCCAAACATTCGTACATTTGTGACAAATTGTTTTTTTTTTTTTTCTTAGAGTAATTTGGGGTGGGGAGTCTCTTTTCCTTACCTCTTTAGTTTACTAGAATATTTTTTGCAACACATTGATGCATATTGAAATTCTCACACTATTTAGTATTTGCTAACATTTTGTTGAGATTTACAAACTGTTTTGTTCAATTTTACAAATCAATCAATGAAATATAAAGGCTTAAAAAGATATGCAAAAAACAATATTGTATTTTTATTAAATAAGTATTTGTTAATTTAATCATTAAATTGTTTTTAAAATAGAGCATTTTCCATGTTAAATAAAACTTAATTTTTCACAAAAATTGAATGAATTATTGTAATAAGCTATGTACTCTAGTAAAAACCAACTATACTTTACCTGTTTGTACTTCTCCCCAAAATTCTTTTTCAATCAGTCTATGTATGCCTATTTTAGAAGATGTTATGGAAGTCATTGGAAGAGGCACGGTGGAGTAATGGACAGCAGCTCTGATTAAGGAATCGGAGAGAGACGAGTTTGAATTCCAGTCTAATCCATTACATTCACTTATGTGCTAATACCCTTGGGAAAGGGTATGAATCCTCTTATTCTCCACCCAGCTATAGGTAAATAACAGGATAGACCAGGTTCTATAGCCTTGGATGGCAACTGGTCTACTGCAGAAAGAAATGGCAACCTAATGCGAGGAAAAAATCTGCCTTGTCAATCATGTATCAAAAGATACATGATCAGTTATGTGCCATGCGTGATACACGCTTAGGTGATCATGTATCTTTTGATACATAATCACCTAAGTGTGTATCACACATAGCACATAACTGACTGAATAGAAGTCATTGAATTTTATATAGAGATTTTTAAGATTTTTTTTTTTTTTCTTTTTACAATTTCAAATGTCCCCCCTCCACAACAGTAAATTTGTTTACTAAAACTAGATATCATCAACATCATAGAATGATTTTCAAACCAACTGATTTTTTCTTTTTTACTTAAATGAATTGTTTTCTTACATTATTATTTTTTCTTTATCACAAAACATTTTCTGCCATATTGAATGTCTAGTTTTTTTTGGTTTTTTTCTTGTTAATTCATAAATGAAGATAGCATATAAAATCAAAATCTTTTATAAATAAAATATCTAAATATACTTATTAATTAAAATTGTTTACAAAAAAAAAAAAAAAGTCAAATTTTTAAAGCTAATCTAAGCCAGTTCCTTCAAACACAATTTCCATATTGATAGTTGCCATTTTTCTGTTTTAAATCTAAATTAATTGATTCACATTTTTATGATTCTCGTAAATAAAGTGGTTAATAGTGTTATCGTCAATTCTCAAGAAAATCTATAAATTCACTTTCATATGTTTGAATTTTACTAAAATTCTAAAACTAGCTTTTTAAAACAATAAAAATTGCTGAGGGAGTCTAAAGAGTATAGAGTAACGGCAATAGGAAAAGAAAAAAGAAAAAAAAAACAGTCATTTTGTTACAACTTTTTTTTTTGCGAGTACTAATATTAAATTTATTCCATATTATCTATTTTTAAAAGTTAAAACTAATATTTGGTTAAATATAATTTGAATATTTTTTTTTTTTTCTTGGATGTCTTTTTGTCTGACTTCATTAAATTATTACATTTTAAATAAGTTTATACAAACCAAATTTCCCTTTTTTCTGAAGAAGAAAAAAGTCTTTACAGATGTATCCCCAACTTTGGATGGTGTGTGTGTGTGGGGGGGGGGGTTCTGCAATCTGAAATAATCTTTTAAATATTTTTCCCATCATTGCTTATTTTTATTTTTTCCCCTAAATGTTTTCTGTATTTTGTGTACACCTTTGTCACCTGTTTCCTTATAACTGATTTGTATTGGTGCTTCCTTCTGGCAGCCAATGCATACACCCTATAAACGACCTCAATCCCTCTACAATCTCCCAGACGACAGAAACCTACATGAGCCATTATACAAACCGAACCCACATAGTAATCCTGCTCTACTCCATGTGCATGTAAGTTGGAGACTTTGTTTTCAAAAAAAAAAAAAAGGAACTAAAACAAAAGAAACTTTGCTTTACATCCACAAACTGTTTTTTTTTTTTTTTTTTTTTTTAAATCTTTCTACAGAAATTGATTTGATTCCAGCCAAAACATGACATTATAAAGAAACCAGATTTCCAGAACTGTTTCGTACTACATTTTTATAAAAAAAAAAGCTTTAATCTTATTTAGAAACAACAAAATTAATAATGAATCAATACATTTCCAGATGTTATCAAGGGTGACAATAAACTGTTTCCATTTGGTCTCTTAAAGCTCACCAGTTTTTGTGCTGACCAGTAATCACAGATTTATTTTCAAAAGCTAATTTACATTATTTATCATTATTAAAGGCAACATGTTTGAAAACTTAGATTTACCAATAATGTTATTTTGAATAATAGTTTAGTTCTAGATTAATAATTAAACATGGTAAACTTTGTTGTTTCTGATTAAATATTTGAAATGTCTTTTAATTTCCCAACTTGGCATTTGGTTAACCATTACTACTTTGTGGGTGAATATTTTCACCAAGCAAAATGTTAGACCTGCCAATGCAAGTTGAATTTGGATTTCTTGGTTGTGTAATCATATCCTTCTAAACAATCTTTACTAAAATTGAGACAGGCTACTGCAATTTCAAATATATAGAACTAATATATAAAATTTTATATTTGAGATTACATCTACAGTAAAAAGGGGGAAGTAATATTTATAAATGATGCAGAGTGCTAAATGTTAAGATGTGTTTAATTTTTAGTTTTTAATTCTGTTAAACTTTTGAAAAATAATCTTAAATGATAAAATTTCAAACAGTTGGACTGGATTTCCAATAAAAGAATTTCTATTGTCTGGTTTAAACCTCCAGCTTTCCAAGGAATCTTTCTGTTCTTAATACAAAATTGAATTGTGGATGAAAGTCTAGTTTTTTCCTTTTTCCCCAAAATAATCCTGCATGTTTAATTCTTAAACTGACCAGCAGTTGAATGATACTAATCTACTGACATACTCATTAGTAATTTGCTTTGTTACTTTCTCTTAACACAGTACCAAAGAAGTCTTCTTAATATTTGTGAAATGAGAAAGAACAAAAATAAGTGTATTGGCACTGAAACGGTTAAGACACATAAAAATGACATTGAAAACTGCCTTTTAACCTTCTTTCTTTAACTTTTTTTTTTTCTTCTTCTTCCAGCTAATATATTATTACTCTCGTAGCTGACTAAAGAATTCATATAGACAGTGTGAGTGCGTGAAAGAGATGATGCTCATTTTCACTAATTAACCGATTAGATTCTATTTCAGCTCTTGGCCATATATGACTACTAACCAATTTTTGAAAATAACAGCATGCCTTTTTCAAAAAGTTTTTTTAAAAATTTATACCAAGAAGCTTTTAAATTTGTTTATCTTGTATTTTTTTTTTTTTTTTTTTTTTATCAAATTAAGCGGATTATAAAAGAATCTGCTTTTAAAATGTTTGTTTCAAAATCATCATTTTGCTATAAAGGACTGTGAAAAGCTTTATTTTCAGGTTTTCAATTGCTTAAAATTTTATAAATTTGAACACCTCCCACTTTCTTCAAAACTGTCGATGTATCCCAGCCACTAATATTTATGATATTTTGAAATAGTTCAAGGGAAGAAACTCTTATCTGTTAACGATTTCATTTTGGAAAAATTACTTAACGTTAAGAAATAATTTTTGGATAAAGCACAACGCAGACTTTTTTAATATACAGAGCATTTGATTAGTATGTAATTTCATTTCTTGGACGCGCGCGCGTGTATATATATATATATATAAGTGAATCCACATGATATCCAATGTCAATATCACAACCCTGAGTTTCATGAAACTTTGAGTCATGCTATTATCATTGGATATTATGTGTATCCACTAATATATACTTAATAGCTCTGTTATTTAACATTAAGCACTGTATTTATAACACCTGAGAAAGAAATATATATGTATATTTGTTATAGACACACACAATTTCATTAAAAACAACTGGCAAGGAACTATGGTTAATTTTTTTTTTTTTTTTTTTCTTTTTCTTGTCTTTTTACAGTTCTCTTTTCTGCACATAAATTATGCTTGACATAATCACTCGTGGTATACAGAACATTTGGACAATTTCTACTTACATTCAGAAAAGAAGAAAATTATACAAACACATGAAAGATTAAATAAAAAAAAATCTTAACCACAGTACCTTATCAGTTGTTTTTAATGGACCTTGTATAAAAGAGAGATTGCTGTCTGTTGTAACCTAGAAAGGGTTAATGAATGAAGAATAACCAAAACGGAGGTTGGAAATGAAATGGTAATCTTTATAACATCAACAAAATACAATACTCACCAGCGGTGTGAAGTAGGTAAACCACTGCTAATGGTTGACTACTTAGACAGCATATTACCCCCACTTACAATAGTGTCCAACGTATTTATGAGGATTAGGACATACTCATTAGTGTTCATAGGTACAATATATAACACTACCGAACTACACAATTACACACACACAATAAATATATATAAAATTTCTTAATGTCTGGTGCTTTGAAAAAATAACATGATTTACATATTTTTTTCTTTTTTTATATAATAATTATGATTGAGTAATTAACTCCTGCTTTATATTTCAGCTTCAGTCTTATGAATGAAATTATCTTGAATATATTATTTGGGCTTTTCAGAAACTGATAAAAAAAATGTGGGGGTTGGTCACTTAAGAATTATTTGATAAAATTAGTTAATTTTCTTCTTAATTTTCTTTTTCAAAGCCTCCACGGCCGACAAAGTCAATGCCGTCTACTGGAGCAGAATCTGAAAATACCGACTCTTCTGTGACCCCCAAACAACCTCCCTCAGCATGTCTTTCTCTCACAGTGTTCCCTATTCTCAGTGAGGTAAGTTCCTAAATTCATTTGATTTGTATTAAATTGTCTGACATATTCAGTTCATAGTATATTTGAAGTTAAATGATTTGTTCTCCTGACTGGATGGCTGTCTTCCAAATTAAGGTCTTTTGATATCAAGAAACAAAGTTTTGTAAAGATATTTTTGTCATTTTTAGTTAAGTAGATTCTAAAACTGAATATGTCCCATATTTTATTTTTGAGATCTTAACTGTTGTGAAAAAAAATCATGGTTGTTGGGATAGATTAATGTTCAGTGTTTAGCAAATATAAATTATTCTGAAAGACTATTTTCCTAATGTAACTGCTTGCAATATCTTAGAGAAATTTCTTAGAACTCTTTTTCCTTTAAACTGGTGGTTCCCAAATTTGTTTTTTTCTCTGGGCCATGTTTTTGGAATTTAAAATTTTTCTCATGCTTCACCAAATTTTATGGAATAAAAAGTGACTAATAGTGCATTGAATATAATCTATAACTTAAATAACTTGAAAGTACACAAATTTGATGAAACATGTGAGATTGTTTTTTGATGAGTAATCTCCTTTATATTAAGTCTAATTTGAGATAAACAAATTCTCATCTCCTCATCAACACAAAGAAACCCTCCCCCGCTTTTTTTTTTTTTTTTTTTTTTTTGATATTTGTCAGAACTGAAAAGGCACAAGCAGCCCTACAACAGACAATCCAGAGGGAGGATTAAAAGGAGATAATGGCAGATTCAAGTCAGAACATTATCATTGATAACTCTCTCCCCTAATTTGCAGACTGATTCTTAATACTTGATATAATGCAAAAATATCACAATGATAAAATCAGTCAATAATTATTTATAACTATTTATACTGGGACTCAAGTAATCCATAATGTTTTAAATTTTGAAATTGTTTTTTTTAAAATTGTTTCTAAATCTTTATCTTTCAGTCATTCCACTTCACTTGCTATCCTCTTCCACTGCACTATTTGGGAACCATTAATTTAAACCATCAAATTGTTTTTTTTATGTCTATTGCAAATTATCACTTCCTATCCCTTTCATGTTTATTTTTGAAATTTCAATTAAGATTAGAAATAAATAGAACTTAATTTTTTTTTTTTTTGTAAGATTTCTCTAATTTTTCTCTACCTCTGTGCATGTTCAGTTTCTCTAAAAATTAAAAAAAAAATTGTTGTTGAAATTTGTCTTAAACAAATTCATAAAATATTTGAAAACTTTAGAAAAAAAAAGCCAATATTAAATGGCAAAATTTATTTGTAGTTAGAATAGATGAAACTTCTATTGACTTCATCTGTGACACTGTTACTGAATTACAATCCATTATCTCAAATTAGACAAAGAAGACTTGCTAAATAGAATTGAGAAAATTGCAATCCCAACTGAGACCAATTTATCAAGGAGTTCAAATTTTAACAGAATGGTAATTAATGGGTTTTGATGGTATTCGGGATTATGAGAAGCATTTAAAATTTTTAATTTTTTCTCTTTGCAGCTCCGTGAACGTTACAAGGTGGTACGTCCTCCACAGAAAGTGGAGGCAATTGATGAATTGAGAAATGCATTCGACTTGGTTGAGAAATCTTGTCCTGGCATCACAGACAAATTTGTGACGGACGTTGTCAGAAACATGGGTGAACAAATGTTGAGGGAAGCGGAAGTGCGTCGAGGAGTGGAGAAATTCAAACGGTACATTGATTTCTCGACCTGTTAGCTGCGGGTGGGTGGGTGGTTGGTTGGTTGGTTGGTTGGCTGGCTGGCTGTCTGTTTGTAATCAGCTCTGCATTGTGTCCTGGTCTGTGTCCGTGAAGGAGAGGAAATACATGTGTACTGCTGCTGCCTACACACTCTACTGCCTTTGCATTGTTTCTCCCAGTCTAATGAATTTATTTTAAAAACAGTTTCCCTCATAAATTAATTTTCTAAATTTTATATCTTAAATAAGTGCCTTTTTTAAATACAAATATTGTGTGCAAATACTGTTATGGCTTGAAATTCACCAGGTAAAAAAAGTGACTTGTAAATATAAAACCTTGTGTATTAAAACCATTTGCATTGACAGTTTCATTTTAAACTGAATATCATTTCAAATTGTTTGGGCTTTTTATAAAATCCTGTTAATTCAGTGAAATAGAAAGAAATGCCTTAAAATTTTAATAGATGACATTTAACTGGTTTGAGACATAATTGATTAAATATGCAGTAAAGAAAATATAAAAGTTAAAAACTGTTTTATTTTTTCATTTGTCTTCTAAAATCAACATTTGTAATTCAGCTAAATTTAGAAAGAAAAAAAAAAAAACTAGTTTAAATTTTTTTTTTTTTCTTTGAAATGTGCTTGTTTCTTAATAAGCGTAGTGGTGGTGGGTGTTCAATCTTACTTCTCCCTCCCCCAAGCATTTTTAATTCCTGTTGTTTAGAGTCAGTTATGAAGCCCTCAACTTTTTCATTGAAAAAAATTTAAGCCCAAACTCAGTATCTTTATAAATTTATTAAAAAAAAAAAAAAAAAACTTTACTACCTATTCTCCTCTTCCAACACTTTGTAACCCATGTATTGCCACTTGCTCAGGTCACCCGCTTTGCATGCATCTGCAATTTGACGAATCCTAAGATTATATTTTTGTTTTATTGCCCCCCACCTCCACTTTTTATTTTTTTTCTCTCCAAAAATCCTTGCTGACTCCCAGACTTTGTGTATAAATGTATTTCTTCACCTTCAGTGAGACACAGCCTCTGCAATGTATTTTTATACAAATTTTGATGCCGATCAGTGTCTATTGTTCAAATATTTTCCTTATTTGTCTCTCCTTTCCATTTATAATCAATCTTTTAATCATTCCCACATTGCTGTACAGACTGAGAAAAATATTCATTTCTCAAATTTTATTTCTGGCATTATAGTCAAACCACTAGTTATGGAAAAAAAAAAAAAAAAATAATCTCCATGTTGTTGTTATCTTTTTCATTTCTCTCCATCCCTCCCTCCTCCTCCTTGTCAGTGCCAATGTGTTCTGCATCCTCTGTGAGGTGAGTGGCCCAAAATGTTCTAACAGCACTGCACCTCTCTCTCTCACACATGCAACTGTTAGTTGTTCACATCCACCCACCACTAATCCATATACGTCTCACAAGCACTTTGTCTCACCGGTTGAAGTGGTAAAGGATGGGGGGGTGTAGTGGCTGAATTTGCTCAGGAAATTTGATTTGTCCATTTTCAAATTGAAACATCAATGATTGTCAAAGTTTTTATCAATTTCAACCTTGAGACTTTATTCTTCACTACATTTGCATATTTCTTCCACTAATTTTGTTTAGAAGTGACATGACATAAGCAACAATAGATTTAATTGATTGCATTTTATTAATCTCACCACATTTGATGGTTGAATCCAATCAAATGTTACAACTTCATCTGTACTCCAAAATTTTTATTGTGCATTTATTACAAAAAGGATTAAATTTTAGGGTAGGAACTTTGAATATCAACAAATAGTTACCACAAAATATATTCAATTAAGCACAATTCAATTTCTCAGTTTTTATTGTTTTGTTTTATTTTTTGCATGTGTTCAGTAATTTTCTTATAATTTTTACTTTTTTTCACTTGCAGGCCTTCTTGAGCAAGATGATGTGCCAGATCTCGATTCCTTAAAAAAAAAAAAAAAAAAGAAAAAGTTACATATTCCAACCCTCTATTTTCTTGTGACAGTTTCTTCCCCAACCCACCTATTTTTTGTCTCTAGGTTAAATTCCCTTTTCCTCATGTCCTGAAAATTGGATTTTGTAATCCAAACAGGAAGAACTGAATTCCCTTTTAAAAACAAAAAACTTTTTCCTGTAGTAAAAACAAACCAAAACTACTTAATTCCTGGAATTAAAATAGTCTTGTTGACTCACACCTGGGGGAGGGGCATGAGAAGCTGAAACCAACCCATCCCGAGTTTTCTTTTAAAAAAAATTCTTCAGTTATATTTTTTTAATTTGTTCTGGGTTGTTGAAATTTTTTTTTAAAACAACTTTTATTTGATAGCAACAAAAACTGGAAAAAAAAAAAATAATTTAACAAAACAAAAAAAAAGTAATTCATCTGATAAATTTCTTTCTCTTGATGAGAGTTCAATGATGGACAATTCTTCCTCCTCCTCTTCGTATTGACAGAAACTAACAACCACCTGCTATTTTTACATTGATTTTACTTGTATATTTCTGAACAAATGAGTTATATTGATGGGTTGGATTCAGATCCATCCCCAAAATTGACAAAATAAAAGTGAGCCTGTTGGGTAGATTTGTACCCCATCTTCTCTCACTACTCTGTATGATTCCATTATTTTTTCGTGCCGTGTACATAAAGGGTGTATCATACTCACTTGAAAGTATTCTACTGTAAATAGTATTAAAGCTGTAGTGGTCATGGAACACATTTTCTTTTTGTTCTTGTTTTGTTTTATTTAGTGCATAAACTGCAATGCCTCCTCTGCCATATTTTGTCTGTTTGTAAAATCTCAAATTTTTACCTTAACAAATTTTGTATTTTATGCACTAAATTTTATTTTTTTTTAGTCCATTCAGTAAACTGTTTAGGACAAATGTTTTCAGGTTTTTAAATCATGCAACACATTACAATCACAAGCAGCTAGATTTTTAACGTGTATGCTTAACAAGAATTACCAGAAAACTTCGGAGGAGGGCAGAAAATTGACCAAGGAGGGGGAAAATATGACTGATGTAATGAGGGAAATATTACTAATTTCCACAATCTTTTAAGTTTAAATTCAATTGATAAAAATTCTCATCTACATTTGGTTTCTTTCCAGTTCAATGATAATTTTAGCAGTTGAAGGGGAGATAACTAAGATAATCAAAGATCAATTTGGGTAATTGGTCAGGACATGTTACAAAAAAGCATGAATGAAATTGCACACCAGGTTTAATTTACTAGTAATTAATGAGACATTAAAAGATAATTATTTACAAGTTTATTTACTGCAAAAGATCTGTACAAATAGATTACAAAGGGAATGAATGGTAAGATGAAGAAACTCGGATTTACCATAAACAACAAACAGGAATTACATTGAAAATTTTTTTTTTATATACAAATGCAAAAAATGGAATGTGAATATCAAAATGAAGACCAACACAACTCTAAGCGTTTTTTTTGTAAAATACATCAATTGATTCTATAGTCATTTACAATTCTTGGTTATCATATTTAAAGAGGGAAAAAAATTAGAATTAAAAGTCAATGCAGGGTTAGTTTTAAAAAATAAAAAAAAAATTAAAGCAAATACTGACATTACTTTATACATGTTCTTAATTTCCAAGAAGATTTGAATTATGTAATCCAGAGATGTTCAAACAGTTTTCAAAAAAAAAAAAATTTTACCTGGGCAGTGAGATAGTTTGGGGAGAGGGACAGTCTTCATGGTGTGGCCAAAAGGGAAAGTCGTTGATTTACCAAAAATGATTTGAGATAATTATACAAGTTTTTCAATGTTTTTGTGCATGTTCTGTTATGCCAAGAAATTATAAGAGATTTCTCCAAAAGAAATAAATTCTTCTTTTCCTTAAGCCACAGATAAAAATAAATACTAACAAGAGAAAAAGGGTTATCTCAACAAATTGTTTTATTTTTCATTATTTTTGCAATTAGTTATAATAAAAAAATAAATAAAATCCAATTTTTCTGTGCACAAAATGTTTTCCTCATGCACAGATACTACACTGATTCTTTGCAGAGCAGCAGGAAAAGAAATAACACTTTAAGCCAAAGTGTACAGTGCCAATTCCTTAATTATTTGGACAAGGACTTGCTAGTTTAATAAAATAAAATCTAATTACAGAATAGGAAAGCAATAACATAATCAATCCAGGAATTTGATTTTCATTGTCCTCAATAGAGAAAAGAGCCCAATAAGCATTACTGCAGATCAGAAATGTCTAAGTTTCACACTTGTGTTAAAGGGACTCATTTTAACAAAAGGAAAGTTAAAATAGACCTCTGATGTTGAAGGGGAGTTATATAATCACATAACTCGTTTTGTTTTTTTTTGTTTTTTTTTTTATTAGGAGTGCGTTTTTAATGATTTATTTTCCTTTTTATTAAGTTTAAAAACTTCCAAATTGACAAACAAAAACCTTTCACATCCCAGTTTAACAAAATGATCCTTTAAAAGTATTTGCTTTTTTTTTTTTTTCTCCCCATGGAGAAGGAAGCAAACAAGTCTTCAAGTTAGACAAGAATAAATTAAAAAAAAAAAAAAAAAAAATGTTTTTAATTTGATAAAGAAAAAAAAATTATTTAATGGAAAGCCATAACATTTAATCTTTAAGAAATTCTTTTCTTAGAAAAGAAAATCCTGTTCTCTCTTAGCTAACAAGAATTTTTGTTCTACAATTAACCAACAAACCATCTTCATATTCTATGGCTGAAAAGTCAGTAACAAACTTCATAGTAACACACATACTCAGAATTTTTTTTTTTCTATTAAAATTTAAGCTTAATTCTTGTAAAAAGATGATTCGTTACTTTTAAATTTGAATTTTTGAAAATGATTTATATTATAAAAAAAATAGTCTTTTTTTTTTTTTTAACTCGGTAACTATCAGATTTAAATTCAGGATAATAAATTCTTAGGCACCTTAGAATCATTTCTCATGACCCAAAATGCACATATTGGGTTGTGGGGAAGGGGATACAACAAAGGGAAGATATATATATATATTTTTTCTCATTGGAGCATTAATGAGCGAAGATTGTCCTGTAAAATTTTCGATTTCACAGACTCGAACACAAACCGTATATTTTCTGTGTCAATGGCTGTAGTAAAGTGATGATAAAGCAGACTGTTGCGATTGCGACGTTTACTATCAAACATATTCAGTATGAACTCTTGGACGTGTTTCAACGAGTGTGGGTCTTTGTCAAATGATGGGAAATAGTCCTTGATGCTAACCTGTTTGACTTTCTCCTCAAGGAGATCCGTTTTGTTCAGGAAGAGAATAAATGCAATGTTTGTGAAGAGAGGATAGTTGACGATAGTTTCGAATATATCACACGACTCTATGATTCGGTTTGTCTTTCGGTCTTCCTGCAATATCTGGTCAAACTCGCTGCTAGAGGCCAAAAAAAGAATCGAAGTGACATCGTCAAAACACTTGAACCATTTTGGTCGCTGAGAACGCTGACCCCCAACGTCCACAAACAAAAAAGGAACTCCATTGATTTTCATGGGATGCTCAACAATCCCTTTTGTAGCCTTCCGGGCATGCAGCACATCAAGTCGTACTGGAATGTAATTCTGAAAGGAGGATAAATGAAAAATCATTTTAAACAAGTTATCAAAAATATGTTGGTACTTTACAAGTAGAATAACAAAACAAATATGAAATATTTGGCAATAATTAACCTTCATGCCCACATAAAAAAAAAGTGTTTCAAGATTTAGTTTTTCCCTTGACACTGCTATTATTTTAACTACTTTTTCGGCAAAGTTTGTTTTAAAAAGTGAGTAGAATTGGAATAAAACCTAAACATGATGAAAGTGAATTTGAATTCTCAACAAAAAATGTATAACAAAAATATTGTCTATTTACAAGAATAATTTTATATTTACAACATTCTAAAAACTAATATGATTGTATTCAGATTTAAGACTAATGTAATGCATTATTTACCAATTTATAAAGAAATAATTGTGAAAACAATATTTTATTCATAAACTTATAAACATTTACTAAATTATTAAAATGTGAACCAACTATTATTTACCATCTTATAATGTTTAAATCAATTGGCCGATATCTTGCCAACAATCTAATAAATAGTGTTTATTATTTTTTTATCAATTCTCAAGAACATAGAAAATTTATAAAATTCACTTTCATAAGGTCAGGTTTCATTAAAATTCTAATCATTGCTTTATAAAACAAACATTTCTGAGGAGTGAAGGTAGTTAAAATAATAGCAGTGTCAAGGGAAAAACCATTTTTTTTGTGGACAGGAAGGCTAAATATTGCCAAAACTTCTATTTCTATTACGTCAACAGAAGAGTCCAGAACGATTGTTAATTGAAAGAGAAATGGATAGAGAAGCTACAGGAAAATCCACATGCTCAAGTGCTTGGACAGGAAAAGAAAAGGGGTCAGAGTTCAGCAGCTGGATCAATGCAAAAAAGGCAACTGGTCAGAAGAACATTTAAAAAAATATATTCTTTGCTATGCAGATTAAATAATGCATTACTAAAGTAAACAGTGTGCCAATTCCAAATTTCTATTCAGAATTCTTCTAGCATATAAAGTTTTTAAGTTATGCACTTAACATATTTATTTGAATTCATGAATAGTGTTAATATGCAAGAGCTGAAAATGTTTAAATGTGTTAATTTAGAAACACTTCCAAATGAATGCTTTGATTTTGCAGGGTTTTCTGCCATAGCCTGCTGCTCAACTGTCAAACTCTCTGCCACAGAGAGGAATCCCGGGTGAGGCTTTGCTGAAGAGCAAAAGTTTCCTCCAGGGAGGTAGACAGAACCCACATAAATGGGTTCAGGGCCTAAGGGAATATTTTTGGCTGAACATATGAGCTCAGAGAACCCATGGTAAACTCGGCCTTGTGCCACACATCCCTCGTGGGGGCTGTTAAATATAGCAGTATTTTCTGCCATCTCGTAGAAAATTTTGGGAACAATTTCTCATTGTTGGGGAAATTAAACCAGTATGAACTGGAAACCAAGCAACTATTTATACAACTGTATTAATTTTTTGACAGCTGTCACAGTTAAATTTCTAATACTGACAGAAATTCAGTCTATATACTGGGGTTGAATAAGACTGACAAAGTTTTCGTTGGGTGAAATAGGTCTATTCCCTGTATGAGGTTATTTTGGATCTTATTTGCTCTGTAATAATACATACATTGAGCTCTTTGTGGATCAATTTTAAAATTTTATATTACTAGAATCCATTTGGATTATATACCAATGGATTATTACCTTTACTTTGTGTGTGTATATATATATATATATATATATAAAATATTTATCATTTAAGCTTTAAAATCAATTATTTATGTAAAAAAAGAAATGCAAAACAAAAAGAAATGCAAAACAAAAAAAATGACAAAAAATTGAAATCAGTAGCATGTCTAGAGTTGTTCCAACATGCCACAAAAATGGCAAATGTCGAAGGAAGAGAAAATGAGAAAAAAAAAGGGAAAAACCTAAAGAGCAAATGTAAAGTGAAAAGAAAAAATCCCCGAAAAGAACAAATGATCACAGCACTCTACATGTGTGCACACATGCATCCGTACAGATAGAAGCATTGGCTGTGTATGTTCACAAAAGATACAGAAAAACTTACACCAATATTGAATGTATGAAGAGAAAAAAATTGAAAAAATATAAGGAGTAAATTGCTGATATCCCCTGAAGAGTGGACGGACAGTTCTGACTATGAAACTCTGGAGTCATGATGCTGAAGATAACATCAATCAGCTAAGTGACAAACTTTTATTCACATTAATCCTCTATATATATATATATATATATATATAATGGACTCTCCTGTCAGTTTCGACATATGAGGATCTGACAGCTTACATGATTCAGTTATGAAATTTTGTGCGATAATCTTAAGTAAGAACGAATCAAGGTAAACTGCCAGAAAACCCACACAAATGATTTGATTCAAGTGGTGAAGGCTTGTGCAGAACCATCCACACTTTTCAGAACTATTGATACACTTAGTCGGTGCAAATAAATGCCACAGACAAAGCAGACAATATACCTCAGGCTCTTTGTGTAAGAGTTTTCCATATATATATGTATGTAATTAATATTTTTTTTTATTATTATAAGAGATAATAAAAACCTGTTAAAATTGCTACACAAAAGCTTTCATTTTTCAATACTATGATTCTATTTCTTCAGGCAATTGTAAGTAACTGGTGATTAAATAATTACCATCACCTGAAGAAGTACAACCATAGTATTGAAACATGAAAGCTTTTGGGCAGTGGTTTCAACATGTTATTATAATCTCTTATAATAATAATAATAATATATTGCTCTATTTTGTATGGAGCACATTTTTAAAAAGTAAATGCTACAAACAGCGGAATTTTACTTCATCTGTTCTTTCTCTCATTTTGTGTGTGTGTGTGTGTGTGTGTGTATATATATATATATTTTCTTTTGTCCGTGTATTGTAATTGTCATCTTTGATAATGGCTTATGTAAGCTGAAAGCTTAGATAGGATTAAAAAATATCAATATTGTGATTTTCTTCTTTTAATGATAATGTTATTAAGCTTAGACGATATGAAAAGAATTTAAAATAGACAAGTTTTGTCTATATTATTTAATGAAACATGAGTCAATGAAAAAATGCTGCCTAAATACAGACAAAATATATATATATATATATATATATATATATGTATATGTATGTGCGTGCGCGCACACACACACACACACAAATTAACAAACAATAAAATGTACAGCTTTATGGTAAGATATATCTATAGATGAAAGTGCCCAGTATGTGGGATAGGACATGTGTAAATATAAGAGGTCAATACTGAATGGTGACAGACAGTTTTATGCTTGAATGCAGCCTTCAGGCCATATGTATTGTGTCATAACTCCACTATTTATATATGGTAGTCAATAAACCAGAAATACATGACTTTGCTACCCAGATACCAGAATGCCCCACTGACCAGCATATATAGTCAAGCTACGGCCAAAAACACATGGTTTGATGATTGCATTCAAGCCTGAAAGACTGTATCCACTCAGTGTTGACCTCAGAGTCCACTCACTCTCTCATACATATTTCATTAAATAATATAGACATATGTCTATTTTTATACGGATCCTTTCCGGTTCTCTAATCAGTTTCTTGATGTTAAGATTCATCAAGGAAGGCACTATAGTTTTTTCATACCCAAGTACTTTCACAATCATCCTCAGAGGTGAATTACAAAGAGAAATTAATTGTAACTGTGATAAAGTACTTTGGTACAAAAGAACTATGACACTCTGCATAATGAATTTCAACATCAAGAAACTGATTAAAGAACTAGAAAGGATTATTATAAAAATAAATAAACATAACAAGTCTATATTATTCAATAAAAACATATCTGAATGAACACATGCTGCCTAAATATACGTTTGGCAGTATCTTATTGTTATTCAATGAAACATGTTTGTTTATATATATATATATATATCCAAATGAAAGAACAAATGGAGTAAAAAATCCATATTTCATAACATTTACTTTTAAAAAAAAAGTGCTCACTACAAAGTAGGCAAAATACTATTATTATATGAGATTATAATAAAAACATTTTTAAATTGCTACACAAACTCTTTCATGTTTCAATACTGTAATTGTACTTCTTCAGGTGATAGTAGGTAACTGGTTATAAAACGATTTTATCACCAGTTACCTACCATCACCTGAGGAAGGACAATCATAGTATTGAAACATGAAAGTTGTTGTGTAGCAATTTAAAAATGTTTTTATTATAATCTCTTATAACTATATATTATATATATATATATATATATATATATAAAATGGCAGTATCTTTATGAAAATGGTAAACTATTTCAAGATGCCTTCAAAATCTGGAAAAAATCAATTCCTTGAAAGAGCTGCGTTACACAATGATAATTAAAAAAATTATATTTAAAGACTAACATTCTGAAATAAAGAAAATTTATTATTAAGATGATTTATCAAAAAGCATTCTTGTAAACATCTAATAATAATAACTTATCACATGTGAGTCTTTAAATATAATTTTTTTAATTATCACTATAAAATGATCCTCCACCTCATCATGTTTACTAAATATTAATACAATGCTCAGAAAACCTATATTGAAAATATTCGAAGGACTTAAAATATTTTGTCCTTTTTGACAACATTGATAACTTACTCTATTAATGTATTAAACTCTTTTTTTCAGTCGGTAGACTTTTTGTTAAACAGAGTTCTCTCCCTTGCTCTGCTAATTTATCAGTCAGTTATGTGCCATGCGTGATACACGCTTAGGCAATCATATCTTTCGATACATGACTGACAAGACTGATCTTTCTGCGGTAGACCAATTGCCATCCAAAGCTATAGAACTTGGTCTGTCCTGCTATTTGCCCATAGCTGGAGGGAGAAGAAGAGGGTTCATACCTTTCCCCAAGGGTATTAGCACGTAAATGAATGTAATGCATTTGACTTCTGAGCTGCAGTCCATTGCTCCATCGTGCCTCCTCCCATTTTCAAAACTCAC